AGCGCTCCAGGGAACTAGGCCATTGGCGCCGCGGGTCTCTTGGGCCACGTTGGCCACTGAAGCCCCACGGTGTTCTGCAAGGGGCTAAGTGCTCCAGCTCCAAGAGGCCCCCTGCTGCTCCTCTTCGTGGAAGATCGAGATTCAACGTTCCGAACAAATGAAACTATTTCGAAGATCGTTCCTTCCAGCGTCAGCCACAGTGCCAGCGCAGCATCGCAGGTATCCTGCTCGGGCAGCAGCCTCAGCCACCGTGCCAGCGCAGCAGCTTGAGCCACCGTGACAGCGCATCACCGCCACCTTTGTGCCAGCGCAACAGCGAAGAGGAGAGGGGAACACAAGAAACAGGAGAGGAGGGGGGTAGGAGAGGGGAGGAGGAGGAGGACGGGGCGACCACGCTGCTCTGTTCAAAACGAGTACCCAACCATAGGAGGGTTAGGGAAAATTGTGACAGAGGTTTTTCGCGATTTTCGCCCTCTAAGGGCCCTCGCCGGGCCTCGGGACCGTCGAGCAACGACTCATGATGAAACGCCGGTCCCGGGGAAAGGGCCCAGACCTCTGGGGGTCGACGTCGTGGGAAAAATCATGACGTCGGGGGTCTGGGTCTCGCCTCGGGGCTCCAGAGGTGAAGGAAGAGGACCAGGGCCAGGAGAAGCAGGAGGAGCGGGAGGATGAGGAGAAGGAGGCGGGAGCAGAAAGAGGAATATGATGATAGGATGGGAGGAGGAGGCAACAGGAGGAGGAAGAGGAGGATGACGAGGAGGAGGAAGAGGCGGAGGAGGCCGAGGAAGAACGCACGGGAAACCAAGGGACAACATGATCAGGATGAGGAGGGGGAGGAGCGGGACGAGGAGGATGAGGACGAGAATAAGGAGGAGGGGGAGGAGGAGGAGGAGGAAAAGGAGGAGGAGGAGGAGGAGGAGGAGGAGGGGGGGGGGATGACGAGGAGGAGGATGACGAGGATGAGAAGGAGGAGGAAAATGAGGAGGAGGAGGAGGGGGAGGAAGACGGCCTCCTTCCTATCCGAGCTGCGGAAGAGCAGGATGACGAGGAGGGGGAGGAGGGGGGCGCGGAGGAGGCCGAGGAAAAACAAAGGGGAAACCCAGGGATAACATGATCAGGATGAGGAGGGGGGGGAGCGGGATGAGCAGGATGCGGATGAGGACACGGAGGAGAATGATGCGGAGGAGGAGGATGCGGAGGGGGAGGAGGAGGACGAGGAGAAGGATTACGAGGATGAGAAGGAGGAGGAGGAGGAGGAGGAGGAGGAGGAGGAGGAGGAGGAGGAGGAGGAAGAGGAGGAGGAGGAGGAGGAGGAGGAGGGGGGGAGGAGGAGGAGGAGGAGGGGGGGGGGAAGACGGCCTCCTTCCTATCCCAGATACAACGTGAGCAGGAGCATGATCAGGAGCAGGATGATGTGGAGGAGAAGGATGACGAGGAGGAGAAGGACGCGGAGGAGAATGGTAATCAGGATGAGGACGGAGCGGAGGAGTATGACGAGGAAGAGGAGGGGGACGAGGCGGAGGCGGAGGCGGAGGAAGGGGAATCCGACGATGAGGATGATGATGATGCTGCTGGTGATGATGGCGATGATGATGATGACAATGGCGATGATGATGATGATGATGATGATGATGATGATGATGATGATGATGACGATGCTGCTGCTGATGATGACGATGCTGCTGATGATGATGATCGCTGAGGCCGCCGATGCTGCTGGTGATGCTGGTGATGATGCTGCTGATGACGATGGTGACGACGGCGTTGATGATGATGATGATGATGATGATGATGATGATGATGGCGCTGATGCTGCCGATGATGACGGTACTGATGATGATGCTGGTGATGATTGTGATGGTGATGGTGATGATGGCGATGGAGGACCGAATGGCTCGTTACCCTGCGCTGTCTGCGCGCGTCGGCGGTGTAATCTGGCAGCGCCGACCCCTCCCTGCGGCGCGCAGCCGGTAACGATGGGGAAGCCTTAAAGGATGGAGGAGGAGGAGGTGGAAGAGTAGCAGGAGGAGGACGGCGACGACGACGGCGAGCAGGAGCAGGAGGAGGACGAGCAGGAGGACGCGCATGAGGAGTAGCAGCAGGAGGAGGAAGAGGAGGATGACGATGAGGAGGAGGAGGCGGAGGAGGCCGAGGAAAAACAAAGGGGAAACCCAGGGGTAACATGATCAGGGCGAGGAGGGGGAAGAGCGGGACGAGGAGGATGAGGTTGAGGATAAGGAGGAGGATGATGCGGAGGAGGATGATGCGGAGGAGGAGAAGGAGGAGGAGGATGACGAGGACGAGGATGACGAGGATGAGAAGGAGGAGGAGGGGCAGGAGGAGGAGGGGGAGGAGGAGGAGGAGGAGGAGGAGGAGGAGGAGGAGGAGGAGGAGGAGGAGGAGGGGGGGGGGGGGAAGACGGCCTCCTTCCTATCCCGGCTACGGAAGAGAAGGATGACGAGGAGGGGGAGGCGGCGGAGGAGGCCGAGGAAGAACACAAGGGAAGCCAAGGGATAACATGATCAGGGTGAGGAGGGGGAGGAGCGGGATGAGGAGGAAGAGGGGGGGGGGGGAGGAGGAGGAGGAGGAGGAGGAGGAGGAGGAGGAGGAGGAGGAGGAGGAGGAGGAGGAGGAGGAGGAGGAGGAGGAGGGGGGCGGGCGAGGAGGGGAAGGAGCAGGAACAGGACCAGGAGGAGGTGGAAAAAACAGTAGGGGCAGGAGGAGCGCCTCGTCCTCCTCCTTTTCCTTCGCCTCCTTTTCCTCCTCCTCCTTCCCTTCCTCTTCTTTTCCGTCCCCCCCCTCCTGTCCGTCCTCCTCCTCCTCCTCCTCCCTCTCTAGTCCCCTCCTCCCCCCTCTCTCCTCCCCCTTCCCTCTCTCCCCCCCCTCTTTCCCGAAGGCACTGGCCCTCGAGCTGAGCGGCGGCGCATCACCACCTCCTGTCGTGCCTGCCATTTTCCTTTGGTCTCACGCGAGGTTCCGCACTTTCCGTGTTCTGGGTTGGGGCTCGACGGCCGCGGTTTCGGCATGGTCGGTTTCCATTCCCGCTGGGCGCGTTCTCCTTTGACGTGCCTTACTTCCATGTCTACCTACTGGGGCGTGTCCACCTCCGCGGTCACCGCCATGTTCAAGACAGTGGCCGGGGTCTTCACCAACGGCCTCGTGTTGAACCCCTTCGACTGCAGTTTCCACTGCAACCCTGCTACCACCACACTTACCGCTGCAGCCCCGCTACCTCCACAATTCTGAATGACCCCCCGCTACCACCGCAGATCCCATTGCAGCCCAGCTACCACCACAGTTCCCACCGCTGCTTGGCGACCACCGCAGTTGCCACCGCAGTTTCCCGACACCATGCAGTTTCCATTGTAGCCCCCGCTACCACCACATCTCCCACTACAGCTTCCCACTGCCACGCAGCTCCAGTCTTGGACAGGATCATGGCTTATTCGTATGTCCTGCGCGAGTAGCCTTCGTCCGTCAGAATAAGGCAGAGCAAGCAATGGCAGAACTGACCGGCTGGGCTTAGAGAGCAGGTCAAAACCAGAATCCGCCCACCAGCACGCAACATACCATAGCGCACCAGGTCGTCGCATCACCAACGCATGCGCAGTGCTTCTTCGTGCGCGATGGGCAACTTTACAACCAACAAGCCTCAAAGAGCCCAAAGCCACCTTTGCGCTTGCCCACGGAGATTTCAGGGAAAGGCCCGCGTGCATTCAATATGTGTTTCCACTTGCCTGGTTGTAAAGTGCCCCTCCCGGTTGTAAAGTGCCCTTCTCGGATTTTGTAAGCTGGTTGTAAAATGACCCATCTGGTTGTAAAGTGCGCTTCTGGTTGTAAAGTGACCCACACGCGGGGTGGGTGGGGGGGGAGATTCGTTTTTCCGCGGGCGGCCTAGAAACCTCGAAAACACTCCCAATGAGGTCCGAATGCCCAAGATGGCCCCCGAGACGGCCCAAGAGGGCCCCGAGTCGCTCAAAAATCTGCCGCAAACGCCCAAGACAGCCCCAAGACCGTCCAAGAAGCCTCCAAGACGTCCCAGGCCCCCTCCAAGAGACCCCCAGGAAGCCCCAAGAGGCGTCCAAGCGACCCCTATGACCTTCCCAAGACGCCCACAAACTACCCCCAAGAGGCCCCCAAGAGCGCTCGTCGTCGTCGTCGCCGTCGTCGTCGTCGCCATTCCGGGTCGGCGGCACCAGCCGTAAGGCCTTCGCAATCCTCACTCCGTCGGAGTTCAAATCGCCTTGGCCTTCTACGCCGATTATGAGGAGGAGGAGGAGGAGGAGGAGGAGAAGGAGGGGGAGGAGGAGGATGAGGATGAGTATGAGGAGGAGGAGGAGGAGGAGGAGGAGGAGGAGGAGGAGGAGGGGGCGGAAGCTCCAACCAACCACTCGGTTGGTGAATGGACCGTTCCTCCCTCTGAGCAGCTCCAGGGTCTTGCCAGCATCGTAATCGTCTTGCGAGGGGCGCCCAGGCGCACGGCCCTCCTCACAAGCGCAGTCTCGAAGAGCCGACAAAAACCGTGCACGACGAACACCGGAGGAGCGAAGTTCCCCCCTCAGCCCGAGCCTGCGCGACCTGTGCGCGAGCCTGCCGAGATGAACGAAGGAACGAACGACACGCTCCATCGGACCGGATGCCGTCCCGCCCGCAATTCTGGTACTCGACGGTGCAGTCCAGCCAGCGTTTGCACTGCCCCCCACGCCGCCGGACGCGGTTCACTGGCTCCCTGTTACATGCAGTCTGTGCCCAAGACTAGTTGTCGGTTGTCAGTGCTCATGCCGAGGAGGAGGAGGCCTGTGCAGGGCAACACGCAGGCGGCCTTCTCTGAAAGGCCGCGCCCGCAACAGCGTGTGCGTACGAGAGCCATACTGTCGGACCAGGGACAGGACACCAGTCGAGAACCTGAAACCCTCCACTGGCCAACCTGAAGAAGCTTCGAGAGAGCCCTCCCCCGTGATGCACAACAACAAAAACAGAAGAAAAACATCACGCCCGGCCTGACTGCTGCCGTGAGGCGCTGTGAGCGCGCATAGTCCACAATCTCGACGAAATCGTTGAAACTCATGCCGGCGGGCACCTTGCGGGCGCGGGCAGCGCGGCCAGACCTCTACGCCCGCCCCGAACCCATCAACGTCGACGTCAACGTCGACGTCACCGCCGCCGCCGCCGCCGCCGCCGTCGTCGTCGTCGTCGCCGCCGTCGTTGTCGTCAACTCTCTTCGTCATCCTTCAGCTTTTCAGAGGTTGCCAGAGGCGACCATGGCCCTAGCTACCCCCGAACTGCTCGCGCCGCTTAAGCGCCGAAACCGAGCGGATCCTACGCGAGATGGTATGTCGACCTTGTGCCGCGGATTTTGCGGGCTGCAAGCGCGGCACGCTACACTAGAAACGAAGACGCTTTCGCGCGACCTTACGCGGGCACCTTACGTGCAAATATCCGCGAACCCGTTTTTCTGAATCTCTCCATAGGGAGCCCCTGGGTTCCTCTGGGCATCAATCATGAGGGGTGCTCTGGACCTCCTTGGAAAGCTGGGGCCGCCTCCGGCCACGGACACCTGAGCTTTGCCGCTCCCGCTGGCAAGACAGGCAGAAGAGCCACCCTCATGACAAGCATCCCACACAAGCGAAGCCCTTTCGCCGGCGCTGGGCCCTCCTCCCCCGCGCGCGAAGCGCGCCAGGGGCAGCGCTGGAGGCGCCGCAAGGGGGGGCGCCCAACGCCGACGCAGAACAGCTGCGCGGTCCACCCGAAATCTATGTTTCTGCACTGTGTGGCTCCCAAGCCTGGGTCTGGAGGTCGGGGCGATTCCTTCTTTACGTTGGATCCTCGGGGGACCTTGTCTGTCCCGTCGAGCCGCGATCTGCGTCGATTCCATGTCAAACGCGCCGAATCGGTGTCGAATCTGTGTCGAATCTGTGCCAAGCCGCGTCGAGCAAACGTCGGAGTGACCGCAAGCCGACGATCATTAATAATCCCCCCCTCAACCCCTTATATCTGATGATCCCTGGACCCCGGTTCAGATTGCCACGACAGGCGGGGGGGGGCGAGCTTTTGTACCACTCTCAAAATTCGCATCGTAGCTCTGAGCTTCATATCATGCATAGCACGGATGATTGAGGCTCCATCCTGGAGGCTCTTGAAGACCGATCCAGAAACGCTAACATCTATATCTCCGGAAAAAAACGCGCTCCTTCCTGGACTCCGAACTTCATTATCTCTGCAGGATCATTCTCGTCGGCACAGGGTTATAAAAGAAGACCGAACTCTACAGGAATGTAACGGGCCTCCGAAGATGAAACGTAAAGGTCGGTGTGGCTTGGTAGGCGGCAAAGGGGTGTGAACTGGTTGGGCCCGAGACGAATCGACCGAGAATGGGGGGGATGGAAGAGAATCTGCTCAAAATCCGTCGCCAGACCCCTCCCGGGGTCCATCTCTGGTGCAGCTCTCCCCCCCGCAGATCAGCCGTCGATGGTCCCAACGGCACCCCCGAAGACCGAGCAAAGGCAACAAACACCACCCCGAACCCAGCGCCTGGAACCTGCCCCCCCCCTTCCTGATCGCCGGAACCAATGGAGGGCAAAAAATCCACCCCGCAATAATCACCTCGACAAGCGAAGCCGTTTAGTAAACGCACCCAAAGAAGAAATCGACTAGGGCAGGGCTGTTTAGTAAACGTTCAGGGCCGTTAGTAAACGTCAAGTGTCGGGTCCGTGAGGTGTTTCCTCCCTTGAGCCAGCGCGGGGCCACCCGAGACCCCCAGCCGGCTCTAAGGGGTGCTTCCTCCTCCCTCGGCCCGGAGAGGCGAAGAGTCGGGTGCTGCTAGAGGTGCCCCTGGCCCAATGTGCTCCTGGGATCTTTCCATGGAGGCCCCCACGGCCTCCAGAGCACCCAGTAGGAGGCCCAGAGAGCCCCAGGGGCTGTAAGACTGATCGAAAGGCTGGGGGCACCTTGGGCCAGGGGCACCTGTAGCAACCCCCGACTTCTGGGGGAAACCGAGAGGTAGTGATGCTGCTAGTCCCTGGACCTCTCCCAGCGCGCGTTCTGATCAGAAGACCGTACCACCGTTCCAATTTCATCGCAGGACGTTCACCGTATTGCATTGGCCCTTCTTCCGAAGCACGCCTCATCCGAAATATTCGTCTCAAGATAACTTCCATGAAAAGACTTCTCGTCCAGTGTAACACCGACGACGACGCTCGTCCAGATCTGCTCCATGAGACGACTTTCGTTCATGTTTATTCGTTTTCCGACTACGACCCCATCGACACCGAAGTAACTACTGCACTACAGCAAGGCGGCGCCGCAGCGTGAGAACGACCCCGAAATCACTCTGAGCAGCGCGAGTGCCTCGAGAAAAACACCAGGCGATACGAATTACTCCAGATTCCATAATACAGTGAAGTGGTTCGCATTTGGGGGGGGGGTCTGATTGGAGCTGCCTTGGAGGGTTCTAGGGGGGTCTGGGCAACAGGCCGCCCTTTCATGGCAAGGGGTCTAAAACGGCTCGTCTGGGAGGGCTGTGCCCTCATCCATTTATTGCGGAATTTGGAGTACCTTACAAAGCGCATCAATTTACCAAGCGCTATCTTGTCCGACCTTCCCTTCTCGGGCGTCACCGCGGACCACCACTTCACCCTCTTCCTGCCGCCGCCCTGACCCTCGTGGTGTCTCACGTACAGGCGCGGTGGAGTGGGCCGATCGTCGATCAGCGCCGACTGACGCGTTGCGCTTGCGCCCGCGGGCTGCCCAAGTACGGTCCAGCCCCTGTGATGTATAGAGTCGACCCAAAAGAACTGCAGTATAGGCCCGACCACAAGAAACCTTCCACAGGAACCCCAACCCCGAGACCCCAGGACGTCCATTGATGTTTGGTGTGGGAGCGTCACCATTTCCATAGCAGAACCATCGAAACCCAAGAAACCAAGGGCACCCTAGAGGCAAGCGCAGGGTGTGTTTTGGCATGAGCCGCCACTGTACGCGCTTCGCCACCCCCCCGGAGCTCCGCGGGCCAACTTGCCTGCGGTGCAGCACCGAGAGAGCATCGTCGACGACGGGAACATGGGCGGAGCGGAGAAACGCAGTGCGCAGTTGGGGGGGGCTCAAACAAAAACACCGTACATTGCACCTTCGGTGGCAACTCATGGGAGCCTCCCATAACAACCTGTCGGCTCTTGCGAATCGGCGCTAGTCGACGCTAAGTTGACGCTAACCGACGCTACATCGACGCTAACCGACGCTACATCAGTGCTATCTCATCGACTCCCAGACGCTAAGCGACGTCAATCGCCGCTGCAGACGGAATTAAGAGGGTATACCAAGCTCCCATGCTTGGCGACCGCATGCGCCTGTCCGAGACATCCGCCGCGGCCCTCCGAAGCGAACGGCCGCCTGCGCGTGACCGTTGGCATCCCGATCACTCTCTCTCTCTTGGGGGTCCCCAAGCGGTGTTACGGTGGCAGACCGTGCCCCACCCCATGGGACGGGAGCAGATGGGGTCGGAGGATCGATTGAAAAAAAACAAGGTTTTTTTGCAATCCTTCGTTCAAGGGTTTTTTTTGCAATCCTTGGTTTTTTTTGCAATCCTTCGTTTTTTTGCAATCCTTGTTTTTTTTTTGTTTTTGCAATCCTTCGTTTTTTTGCAATCCTCCGCATCGCCGATGTATCGCCGATGTATCGGCAACGTCACGGTGGAGAAGCTCGGGCTCCGAATCCAGCCGCATCACCAGGGTGCATCGGCGATGCGGCGGCCATCCTCCGACACACCCATCTGCTCCCGCCCAATCGGGGAGGCCTGGAGCTTGGGGACTCTCGCCTGCTCCTCCCCAGGGTGCCTCCCAGCCCGGCACGCGCATAGAAGAACAACGAACTGCATAGGCACGGCCTTTCGGAGGTCCGCGCTGACTTCCCGGATCGGCGCTGGACCCCCCCTCCCTGGCGCGCGGAGCGCGCCATAGGCGGCGCCAAGGACTCCAGCGCCGATCCGAGAGATCCCGTCCGTCGTCGTCTCGTCGCCGCCCGTCGCCGCCGCACTATGGATTGCACCACGTAGCCTACACCACATACATTGCACCATATAGATCGGGCCACATAGATTGCACCACATAAGCCGCACCACATCAACTACACCACCTAGCTTACCCTTCATAACTTCCAGCACACAGCTCGCACCACACACATTGCAGCACATAGACTGCACCACATAGCTTGCAGCACACAACTTGCCCTAAGCTTGCACCACAGTGTACCGTTGCGGGTCCACGCTGGCTAGCTGGCATGGTGTCATGTACCGTTCCTTCCAAAGGGCGGGCCCCAACCGAGGGGCGCTCTGGCAGAGCGCAAGCGTGCTCGCCGCGCGCTGCCGGCAGAGCGCCAGCACGTCTCCACGGCCGCGTGTCCACAGCCGCGCGTCGACCTACAACATCTTGAACTTCGCGCTAATATGATGCGATGTTTACGTTTTCGACCATGCGCCCCATGTTACTCATCGGTCCTGGGCCGTCTTCGGCGGTCTTCGGGCAGTCTTCGGCGGAGTTGAGAGGGTTTTCGGCAAGAATGCTGGATGGTTGCGTTCAACAAGAGTTCCATGATCGAGCACCTGTGCGATGGCGTCAACGAACCCAAGTAGATTGACTGAAGTATCTGGGCCCTGCCCCATGAGGCTTCACAGAAACGCCACAGGACAACGTAGTGTGTAATTTTCCAGCCGGTTCTCCGGGCAACGGGTGTTGAAACAACACATGCAGTGTGTTTGGCTCGCCATCTGCCACGAAGTGGTGGACAAACATAACACAGTATAGCAGACATGTTCCTGGTCCCGAGTGCTCGCTACTGGAGTACCGTCGAGTTCTATTTTTCTAGGTTCATAACCCTCGATGGGTTCTTCCTGGAATGCACTCTCTGTCTCTATAGATACCTCCCAGATAGGGTCCGAGTAGATAGGGTCGGAGGATCCCGCCGCATCCCCAATGCATCGCCGATGCACCGGCGATGCATCGGCGACGTCGGCGGTGTATCGGCGCAGCTGGCGCGGAGAAATTCGGGCTCTGCATCGAGCCGCATCGCCGATGCGTCGGCGATGCA